TTTTTTCATAAGAAACAATGTGTTAGAAAGAGACCTTTTTCATTTTCCTAATACAGATATAAAGTCCTTTTCTAACACAGTGCTTCTTATGAGAAAAACCGAAATAATTTTTTTCCTCGAAAACGGTTAAAGATAAACCTGTCGAACTTTATATCATTAAAATCAGAAAAATAATAGCTTTTCAATGAGCTAGAGTAGAAATCAAACGAGAAGAAGCCACACGTGTTATCGTTTATCTCACTTTAAATGGGAGGGACCCAGAGAAAAGGATATCTGCCTTCTTTGTCAGCACTGACGTCAATGGCTTCTTCTCGTTTGATTTTTACTCTATTAATATAGAGGGTGTCCTATTGAAAAAAATCAGACTTTGGTCAATATCTCAAAATCGGCGCCAGATAGAAAAAAACTGAGAACGTCACTGAATTCTGCTTAAAAAAGTGCTTCCAGAAAGTTGTTACGGAAATCGATGAAAGCTATGAAGGTTTCACAATATTGCTCAAAATCGAGAATCGCCCTCTAGCGGCTAAACGGTTGAAGATATCAAAATGCGGTTTGCACCAATCAAGATTTCATGAAATTTGAGCCTCAGAGTGGGGGGTTCATTTTTTTGTATCTTGCTCAGAAATTGACGTTTCCTATTAAAACTGTTCAAATTGGCCCACCCTGTACAGGCCGAGATTTGTTTTAGTTTTTGTAATATTCGTGGTTGCTTAAAATGGAAGCGAAGAGAAATAAAGTTTGTTGTGTTGCTGAATGCAAAGACCGGACAACAGGAGACATAGGTTTCTTTGTACCATCGTCACCAAAAGTAACTGGGACAGCAACACATTTGCTCTTGTCCTATTATATGAATTTTATTGTCAAATATTTGTCAAACTATGCATTAAATGCATTGAAATGAATGACAGTAGAATTAGTCCAGGAGATTATTATGCATTATTTGTGTCCCAGTTACTTTTGGTGACGATGGTACATATTAATTATATTTTTTAATTAAATGTGAGATGCATTTATTGTGACAAATCCACTTTACCTTTTATTGCTGACATAACACACAAATACGGTATCCGCCAAAATGAACAGTACCGAAATCTAGGCCTCTAAATAATTGCGCACACAAGTTGCATTTATCATATTTCGCTTACTTGGGATTAGTTATGAGGTTCTTCTTCTTCTCTAATTTTGGCGCTGCTCTTCTACGGGCAATTTGCCAGCACATTCGGGGCAGAGTGACCTTGTCTGGCTTTTCACCATGTCATCCCTGCGGATTTCGAGTCATGAATAAGAGCATGAATAAACATTGACTGTGGAAAATATAACCGCCACCGGGGTTGGTTACCCGGTCTTGGTTTTGTGTGAGTTGTGATTTTGTGATTTGCTGTGTGTTTGTGTTTTTATGTGAGGTGTTATTGAACAAAACAACATGAAAACAAAATAACATGGACAAAAACATATATTAGACAACTACAGGAAACAGACAACACTCTCGACATAAGCTTGCTTTGTTTCATAGTTGAATTTTATTATGTTAGAAAGTTCAATAAAATTTTAATTCTTTTTTCTGAAAGACTTGACAAAATAATGGAAATATTAAGGGGCGGTTGAAGACCTGAGATGATCATTTCTTGATAAATGTCATAGTTAGGGATAAAATTAATTGGGCATTCTAGAAAAATATGATCCAACGATTCTACCAAACCACATTCACAATTGGGTTCTTCCTTCATATTAATTTTATATAAGTGAGAGGATATTAAACAATGCCCTGTGCGCATTCCTATGATTGTTGTAATGTGTTTACGGTCAACAAATTCAAAGTCGTTGAACCATTTCTCTTTGGGGAAAGAGGAGACTATTCGTGAATACCAGATGCCTTTAAACTTCAATGTGTTTTGCCAAAACTTATTGTGTTCTTCCCTAACTACATCCCTAATAATGTTTACGACTTCTGATCTGTCCAATTCCACTTTCAATGGGACATTCAGACTTGCTCCTATTTTAGCTAATTTATCCACCGTTTCATTTCCTTCTATCTGAGCGTGACCTGGGATCCAGGACACCATTATATTTGAACCATTACTGTTAGCTATTAAAATAAGCCTTTTAGTTTTTAGAGATAAGTAATCTCGGGTTGGGTGTAAATCGTTATTATTAATTTCTGCAATAGCTGATTGAGAGTCGGAAAAAATAATGACATTCTTGATACCCTTTTTTAGGATTACCTTTATAGCCTCATAAATAGCACATAATTCCGCTGAGCAAATGCAAAGTTCATTTGGAAGTCGACATGAAAAATTATATTTACTTAAAAATTATATGATTTTTTGACGCATCTGTGTAAACAAAAGTATGTGAATTTCTAAATAATTGTGATGTTGCAGATAGGAAGTTTGGATTTTGGGAAGTTTCTTCTTTCTTTAAATCTAATTTAATTATTTTGATTGGGTTGATTAAGAATTCATCTCTTATTTCAAAAATAGGGTAATGGGGTGATTTATATAATGTTCTGACATGAGGAAGGAAATAGTTATATGCCTGTATTAGATATGGAGCCTCCTTATTTTTCCAGAAATTTACATTTTTGGCACATATCTTTCTCAACAGTTGAATTAAATGGATTAATGGATGGTTATCAATTACTAAGATCTTACTCAAGAAATTAGTGGCCAGAAGTTTTCTACGGTGTTCTAGATCCATTTCTGTAGCTTCTGCTAAAAGCGTATTCGTGGGATTGGATCTCATGCACCCCAGAGCCACTCTCAAACTCTGCATCTGAACTGTATCCAATTTTTTTAGGTAGGCGTTACTACATGGTTTAATGAAGATTGAGGCGTAGTCTAAGTGGGATTTGATAAGGCCGTTATGGACCATCAAAAGAGTCTTGGGGTCTGCACCCCACCATACTCTGCAGAAGGATTTCATAACATTTATTCCTTTTTGAGTTTTTGCAATCAAGTAGTCAATGTATTTGTTCCATTTCAGGTTTTTATGTAAAATAATACCTAGGTATTTAATTTCATTTTTAAAATTTACATTGACATCATTTATTACTATTGTGGGAAGATTTATCAACCTCGGATTTTTAGTGAAAAAAATGGGTTCGCATTTTGTAGTTGATAGAATTAAATTGTGGTCTCTTAACCACTCAGTCAAAACATTAAGTATCATTCATAATTTCCGACATTTCGAACGGATTTTTTCCCTTAATATAAATAACCAAATCGTCCGCATAGCCAATTATCTTAACTCTGGGGGGAGTTAAAAATAATATATCTTTAATGTAAATATTAAAGAGTAAGGTACTCAAGGGTGATCCCTGCGGAATACTTGTATTAACTAATGAGGGGCCCAAAAATTCTCCATTTCTATTTTTTGAAAAAAGTATGCGGTCAGATAAAATTTTGAGAATTAAATTTGTGAGTTCAATTGGAATTTTGGCTTCTAGTAATTTGTTATAAAGTTTAAAAATGTTTACGTGATCATAGGCAGCCTTGATATCAAGAAAAACAGCAAGTATTGAGAGATTCTCCCCAAATGCTAAATTGATCTCTGTTATTAGAAGGGCTTGAGCATTTTGAGTACCTTGGCCCTTTCTAAAGCCCGTTTGAGTCCATGGAAAGTACATTTTGTTTTCCAGGAACCATTCAATCTTATTTTTAATTATAATTTCTAGGGTTTTCAGTAAACATGAAGAAAGTACGATAGGTCGGTAGCTATCTAGCAGTAGAGGATTTTTGTTTGGTTTCAAGAGGAAAAAAATGTTATATTGTTTCCAAGATTGTGGAATATGTCCCCCTAATAAAATTTGGTTATATATTCCAAGAAGGCTCAATTGAAGTTTAGCAGGAATGTTTTTCAGCATTAGGTAGGAAATCTCGTCCATTCCTGTCGCTGAGTGTTTTTTATTTTTGATAGCCGTTTGTAATTCTTCAATCGTGAATAGTTTTATTTCGTTTTGCAATGACTGTTGGGGTGTAAAATCAACACTCGCTGATGTTATTGCCATGTTATCAAGAAGATTCTGCCGTAAACAGTCTGAAATATCCTGTGTATATGATTTTGAACGTGATCCAGAAAATGTCTTGACTTTGTTCCAAACATAGCCCAAGTCTGAATTTCTGTTTAATGACCCACAAAAATCTATAAACTTTTTTTTCTTTTTATTTTTAAGTGCCCTTTTTGTAGCCGCTATATTTTTTTTTTGCCTGCAAATAGTTGATCAAATCTGGTTTGTATTTAAAATTCTGCAAAGCTAACTTTCTTCTGCTGACTAATAAGGAACATTCATCATCCCACCAAGGGTTGTTTATTTTGGAGTTATTGTTGTTAATAGGGAACTTGCACTTTTTTTTTTATTTCAAAAATGTGTTGTACTACACTAAAGACATAGTCATGCCAAATATCAAGCATTAAAAATCAGCCGTTAATTTTTTATAAATATTTGAAGTTACGCTCGAAACATCGCCATTTGAAACGACCGATTAGTGTGACGTCACTCAGCAACAAAATTCCGATCACAGTCCTTGGTTGACAGTGACCTGCGAGCAGGTAGATTTAGATTATGGTTATGTTGTTATGTATGCCGTTTATGATAGATTTAACATTGACAACACCAGCAGCACATGGCGTGGCAGCGGTGCGACCCGATTATTACTGCCCTTTGACGTCAGGACCCATAGAAATACGTTTTTGATCTCGTCAAGAATTTCGAATTATTTGGTATTTTCAATTGAAGATTTTGAAAACCAGAGATAAGATATTATATCCTTTTCCTAATTGCATCATTTATTAGGATGATTGTTATTGTATTTTATTATTTATTTCATATTTAATTTAATGTGCAAGTTCCCTATTGTTTTATATGGAATAGCCTCCGTAGCTGAGGAGTCCAATATTTGATTAAATTTTGTATAGTCTATTTCATGTTCAGCAAGTCCTGCTGCCTTTACAATTGAGAGATCATAGAACCGATTCCAATCTGCCCTATTGAAGCTTCTTACTTGATAGGGTCTAAAATTTAAATTTCTATCCATTTCTGGCGTAGAATTGAATTCAATTAATGTGGGAAAATGGTCAGAGTTTGCACATTTGTTTTTGTTATCTTGATTAGGAATACGCGAATTGGGGAACAAAAGAGCTTCGTTATGGGCGGCCCTGTCAAATCCTCCTTGAGGTTTTTTCCTATTCTGAATTGTAGATGCTACTTGGTTATATCTGGGGTTAAGTCCTTCTTTAAAATTGACATTTCTCCTCTGAGAAGGGAGAATAGCATTTGTTTCTTGGTTGTTATTAGCAGAGTTGGGAAGTTCAGGGAATTCTTGACGGTGAGGTAAAAATTCATTTGGGGCATATGGTTTGGGGCATAATCTAGAAGCATCAAAGAAGGTTATATTCTCGAATGCTATTAATCTTTTAATGTCTCTTTGACGGTTGAATTCGGGACAAAGTTTTGACGTAGTTCTGTGTTCTTCACTTTTGCAATGTAAACATTTTGATGTGCACGAATAACTAATTGTTTGATCCTCGTTTAATATGGAATGAGTATCCTCTTCCCCACAATTGAAACATTTTTTTGTTTTATTTTTACACAATTTTTTTTTTGTGGCCATAGAGTAAGCAATTGTAGCATTGTGTAACCGGAGCTACATAAGGTGAAACATTTTTCTTTAGCCTGTAAATGGCTATGTATTTAGGTAATATTATCCCTTTGAAGGTGATTAGAATGGTAGTGGTTGGTTCATATTCTACTTCAGTTTTATTTTCACCTTTTTTTGAAAGGATTTTGCGATTAAGTCTAATAATATCCATAATCTCAAAAGGAGAATTAATTGCTTCAATTATTTCTGATAAGGGGATGCCCTTGTGGACCTGCCTGACAATGCCTTTGCAAGTAACAAAGTTATAAGGTACATAGATTGAATACCCTTTGTTTTTTAAGAAAATGTTTTCTGTAAATTCATTTGCGGTTCTATAGTCGTCAAACTCAATGGAAAGTCTATTCAAACCTTTATTGTTGATATTTTTAATGTTGTTTAATTTTAAATTAAAAATTTCTTTTGCTATTTTCAGATCATTAAATTTACCGATATTATTCCCAGATTTTTCGGTTGATTCAATAAAAACTACAAACGGTCCTTTATCAGTTGGACTATAAAGTTTAGGCATTTTTTCATTTCGCTTATCGGCAGTAGAATTAGTCAAGGTCGACGAGGATGGTCCCTCAGTCGTGTTTGAATTAGATTTAAAACGTTTTTCTGGAGGATCTAGACCCCCTCCGGGGTCGTCAATTTCCTCCATATTTTATTAGTTTTTTCCCAATAAAATATAGAGGATGAAATTCAAGACAAGCCAAGTGTCGACTTACCAAAGATAGAGTTGAATAAACCCAAGGAATTTAAAGAATCCCACACAAAAAATTAGTATCGTTTGCGCGGAGGAGAAAACACAGCTGCTTCGATTCACGTTCTCCACAGCACTGTAGTTATGAGGTTGACATTAAGTTAGGTTTAAAATCTTCGTCATTATAGACGATTTCGCCACGTTTTGGTTGGTAGGTAAATTGGTTAACCGCAAGGTAGGCTCTTCGTCACACCAGTGTCGTCGCATACCATTTTCAGCCGAAATCGGCCGGTTTGTCAAACGTCACGTGTATGACGTGATGATGATGGTATGCCTAAGAAAATAAAAATAAACAAACTACTGAATAGGGGAACCCGGGGCAGAACGGCATACTGGGGCACAACGGAATTGGCCTCCTAACACCAGCCGCAACCAAAATAGTAAATCGAAGTCGCATTATAACCAGACCCTAGACTATACTCTATTATGTTTTGATAAATGCCAGTGCAAAAACAACTTTAGTCTAACGGAATTCATGCATGTCCATACTTTTGAATAAATTTTATAATTTTTTACGAAATTGAATGACAAACTAAGTATTGTACACAAATAATAAGTCATTGTTATTATATTTTTCACGTAGTACATGATGTCAAGCATTAGTGGTGGTAGCGTTGATATTTTTCCTCAATGATATTGTTTTATTTTTTTGAAAATATTTTAAAACCAAATTCGGGGCGGAACGGATCGGGGCGGAATGGTCTAGGGTACCATTTTGCCCCTCATGAAATTAGGGGGTGGAACAGTCTAGGGTACCGTTCTGCCCCGCATAAAATTAGCAAAAAAAATAGTCATATGAATTTTTTCAATTATAAGAAGAGATTCACGCATGTCGTCTTTAATAGAATGCAGTCCAGATGAATCAATAGCAGAATATAAATTGGCAATAGATAAAAAACCCAAAAATGAAAAAGTTATTCGCTCGAAGATTATGCAAAAGAATAATAAAAAAAAAACAAAACACAAGGATTCCTGTAAACGTCAAAATAAGTTCTTCCAGCGAAAGTGAAAGTGATGATTCCCAATGCCTCTACTGTGGAGACTTTCACTCAATATCTATAGAATCTTATTAGATATCATGCTCAATCTACAAAAAATGGACTCATAATACTTGCGCGGGTATCGAAAGCAACGACGATGAGACTGTGCTTGTCTGCGAAATCTGGCAATAAGTTTAAAATTTCTATTAAATTGTGTATTTAATATTTGAGTGTTTCATTTGTTCCCAAAAATACGGGTACTTCATTATTTTACCATAATGACCATTCCGCCCCAAGATAGGGCCATTCTGCCCCGTAGTCGGGGCAGAATGGTCATTTTGACAATTTTTTTTGAGCTTCAAAAACTTTTTTTTTTCTGATAATATTCGTCTCAAACTTTTTTTGGATGTTATTTAAACAATAAAGAAGGACATGTCCTAAGTTAGTTTCGAAATTTCAAAATCCCTTGAAGAAAAGGCCTCTTAAAGCTTGGGTATGTCGTTCTGCCCCGGGTTCCCCTACTTTTTGCTGTTGGAAATTAAAATTGGGAATAGTGAAAATTAAGTGTTATTATTAGTTGTGTTTAATTTTAAATATAAACAAAAAAGTGAGGTTGAATTACTCCAAATTAGAGAGAGATAGCAAGCTACCAATTCAAATAACCGTGCTCCAAGCTCGGTACCCAATTTGACGTACCAAAATAGATACCAAAGTTATCGTAACGTCATTGTTTTTCGTGCCGAAATTGGTTGGTATATTTTTGACCAACCAAAGTGGGTTACCAAAACGTGGCGAAATCGTCTTATGTATCTTTCAACTTAGGAAAAAGTTTTCTTAGTAGGGCACTATTTCCGGTCATACGGATTTGGAAGGAATAAAGGCTTAAGTTTGAAATAGGTCTCAGAAAAATTTCTGCAACCACTCTTAATAAATATTTCCAATGATTTGCAGAATCGTTATGAAGCTTTTTTGCTTCGCTATGATGCTTTTTTTAAACATATACGCATGATACAAATTAACAAATGATATAATTTATATGTTCAGTACTGTTTATTTTGGCGGATACTGTATTAGATATTTATTTTATTAGGAGTATAAGTAATACTTATGTGACGCGCATGGAAGTTTGAGCGCCGAGCGCAGCGGGGCGAATCAAATCCATGCAAGTCACATGAAGAATACTTATACTCCGAATGAAATACAATATTTTATTTTCAAACAATCTTTATTCCGAATAGTGCAGAATTTTTAATTTAAATAATGACATTCATATTTAGAAGGATCACCTTTATAATCACCTATTCCTGTATGTACAGGTAAACTACCTTAAATCGCTATGGAAAAACATGTGTAACGGCGTATAAGTGTTATACTCCGGCGGAGTGTAACCCTTATACGCCGCTCAAGCTGAAAGTCATTGAAGTGACAATTATACTTTGTCAAAATGATCACAAAAATTACTGTTATATGACGTTTGAAAATAATAGTTATTTATACACCAAGTGAGTTAAATGTATTTTTATTCATGAGAAGAAAGTTTAACCCACGAGCCCTAGCGAGTGGGTTAATTTTCTTCGAATGAATAAACATTTTAACTCACGTGATGTATACAAAATTTTATCCCATTTTGTGAAAATTTTAAAAATTAAGTAGAATAAAAATGCAGGGAGTGAGTTAAAAATATTTTAAATCACTGAGGTTTCAGATTTTTAGATGGGCAGAGTGACTTAAAATGCCGAGAGTGAGTTAAAATATTTTTAAATCACTGAGGTGATAAACGTCTACTTACCTTTATTGTTATGCGTTCAATAATGTCATTTTTAAACGTCAAAATGGGATAAAATAAATTTTCAGTGTTTATACATATTTTTAGTATAGGTCCATACCTAGTAGGTATATTAAAATACAATCAGTTCGTAAAGAAGTTCTAGCAATAACCGATTTTTGGGACGGTTTCATAATTTTTCGTTCCATAAGTCAGCAGATTGCGCAGATTTTATAAAAAGAACCACTTTACAAAATAATTGTATTTTAAAATGCCTTGGCTGCATTTATCCAAGGAATTATTTTTCAGTGGGCGAAAAAAGAAGGAACCTCCCAGATAACATAAAAGTATGAAAGAAGAGTAGAGGTAGATGGTTCGTTCTACATCCTCCGACGCCTCCGACGCTAGTGCGCATGTGCAGTATCAGCGTCGCGACGCTCTGACGTCATCACATAAGATACGCTCTTGGAGAGGTCTAACCCAAGATGTAAAAGCTAGACGCGAAGAAGCCTACCCCAAATGACGGTTACGCAGACTAGGGCGTGACACGTGATTTGCGTCAAATGTCACCTGTCATTATTGACAGCTCTCTAGTTATCCCGTATCTCATACAAGAGACCCGTAACTAGTTATCCCATATCTCATATGAGATACTCGTTACTAGTTATCCCATATCGCATACCTAATACTGATGATGACGTAACTAACCCTAAGGGTGTTTTCAAATTTTTTTGAAAAAGTTCCCAACTATATCAAAACTCTTTTGGAGCAAAAACCACCAGCGTAGCTGCCATTTTTGCTATTCGCGCACAGCTAACTATAAAGGGAAGCCTGAAAAACCAGTTTTGGTCATCTGCGCATGTTGCCTAAGGGCCTTATACTATTTTCTTGAATAATTCCCGTTCTAGCAGTCCGATTCGAATAATTCTTTCACCAAAAATTTCTAAATAATTGAGCGCTCATTTGAAGACTATTTCCAGCCGTTTAGCATTTACCAAAAGGGCCCTAATCAAATTTTCTCATATAATTCGCGTTCTAACAGTCCGATGCAATTAATTCTTTCACCAAAAATCAGTAAATAATTAGTGAGGTATTTGAGGACTACTGAAAAAACTTTTTTTGAATACAATTTCTATTTATTAAACCATAAAGTACATCGATTTTTTCATATATGATAAATCAAATTTCAATAGTAAATCACACACATCTTCAAAAGCTTAAACTAAACCAACGATTAGACGTATATCTTCAGTTTCCCTTTCCTTTTCCTTTTTTATCTATCACTGCTACTGGTGCAACAGATTGCTTCACCTTCTCATTGATCATTTGAATCACCTGTCCTTTCGTGATTAAATCGGTATCGTTTATAGCTTTTGCAGCTCTAACTATTCTCTTATCACCAATGCTTATATAAGTAGCTGTTATATTGAATAGCTTATGTTGCTCTTCTAATGCCGATATTTTCACATTCAGATTCTTTTTAATATCATTTTCAATCGATTGCGACTTACTGGTTAAACTTTCAATTTTCTTCTGATTATCTTTTATTAAAGATTCTATTTGCTTATTTTCCTCAAATACTTCTTGTGAGGGTGGCCCAGCAACTTTTTTCTGGTTTTGCAAATCTGTTTTAAATTTTTCTGAAAATTCTCTTAATGATTTCTCTATATAGGATTTTGTTGCGTAATCTTGTGATTGGTTTTCCAGGCGACGTTTTAACATCAAATTCTTATACTCGTTAACAGTTTTTAGACGCTGTGAACGTCCAAACTTATCAACAGACATGATGATACTAAGTTGAATATCAGTTGCTACAAACTTTTATAGTGTGTCTCTCCCTGTCTCTCTCTCTTTCTTAATTTATCCTGAAAACTAAAATTTAAATAAAAACAACAAATGTTTTTTAAGAATTTATTACACAGGGAAACACATTTTTATAAGTTTACATCCTTATAAGTTACATCACTATCTAAAACACATAATTTGTTGAAATCTATAACTATTTTTTCCGGGTTAATGTATATCTACAAATTCTAACATTAAATAAGATAATTCACATATATTTAAATTACAATATTCTCTTATAACACTTAAACAATTATTTTCGTTTACAGTTTTTACATTATAATATATCAAAAAATTATCATAAAAAGTCTTGAAATCTAGTTCTGCGAGAAGACTTAGCCTATAATCTATTATGTCTTGGATTTTTAAAAAGGATTTAATATCATCTATACAAAAACATAAATTAACTCCTCCGCTTGTTAACTTGATCATTCTCTCTCCAAAAAACATAACTGTAGAAACAATAAAGTTTTCCGATAATGAAGCAGTTGTTATCACCTCACTATTATCTTCAGACAAGTCCTTAAAGCATGTAACAATATCCAGAAATTCGAACCATTCTAGATTACCAAACGATACAGCCACTTGTTCTTCAGGCAGATTCAACATTGTACTTGATACTTTTAAACTGGGCATCAATCCTCGAGCAATACTTATTCCAACAACAATTTTAAAGTTCTCGGTTGAATAACGAGTCTCCCCCAAGAATGTTGTTTTTTTCTTCGTACCTTGCTTACTCATCAAAACCATACTATCGAAATACTTCCAATGAGGTGAGGAACAAGTTGAGCAACCGCCGCCTTCACTATCCATAATACCATCAATATCTGCTGGCGTCGACATGTTGAGTTACTATATATTCAATAAATGCTCACAATGAACTGATTGAGGTTTTAAACAAAATACTGTTTATATAGAAAATCCTCAACATTTTTTACTTTAATTGTTTATACTTGTTTAAATTCACCTCCAGAAATAGGAGTTTAGATAGAGACCATCCACTGTCTCTCTCCTGAAATTCAGCAGATTTTGATACTAAAACTTGTTTAAACTCATCAAATATCTCATCCAGATCTGTTATAGGAGAAATAGCAGCAAAACGCGAATTAAACGATTTTATTTCCTGTATTTCCTTCAAAACATATAATCCATATGGTTCCATGTTTATTTTTATACTAGAGGAAGTTAAAAACATTTTTCTTATCAATTCCATGATTTTTGGTTTCAAGTCTTCCAAATAAAGTTCAACACTTGTTAGATGTATATTTGTGGATAGTCTATAGGAAATTATGCGGTTTTCAAATGCCGTATTTATAATCTGAACATTGGGTTCTAGATCTATACACTTATTTTTATGATTATGACTTAGGTTATGTGAATGAGAAGAAATACTTTCCTCGCAAACTTTACAGTGCAATCTCATGATTGTAAATGAAATGGAAAGTCGTCAAAATCTTCTTTTAAACTACATCCTTGTCCCTGTCAACCCAGCTATTATGAGATTTTTCAAAGCCCAACCATTTTACATACATTTTATTTCCTTTCTTTCGTAATACTTGTTCTATAAGAAACACATCAGGTTGTTTTGTTTTCTGTAGTTCTTCTTCATAAAAACCACCACTTATAGGCCGACCTTGCAAGTCCTCTAACAAATATGTTGTTGGATTTGTAATTCTCACTTTAGCTATGTGGAACAATTCCGTAGTCCAGTTTGGGGTATATCCTTTCTGAAAAACATGCTTGAACTTGCTTATGCGGACTACGTCACCGACCTTGAATTTCTGTTTTCCAGCTACCTTAATATGACTATAAACAGTATTAAGTAGTGTTTTTTCATTATTTTTAGTAACTTTGCTTGGTTTCATTTTAATCGTGCTATGTTTGCGGTCATTATATGCATCGGTAACAGGCTTCAATAAATCGATCCATTTATGGTTTCCGTTTAATGTAAATTGCTTAAACAACTTTTCTTTAATGGTTCGAATTACTCGCTCTGCAATAGATGCTTTTAGAGGACTAAACGAACTATAATGATGTATTCCATGTTTCTTCATTAGACTCAAAAATTGAATATTATAGTATTCCTTTCCATTATCCGAAATAAGCTTCTTGGGTATTCTTCCGGAAATTTTCAAAATGCTCTCCATAGCTTTAGCGACATCTTGCGCTGATTTCGATTTCACAGCTCTAGTCCACAGAAATTTAGAAAAACAATCGATAACAACTAATATGTACTTGAATCCCTTGTTTTCTCGAGAATACTGATCAAGCTGAGCCAAGTCGGTGGCAAAAGTATCATCCAGACCATACTGTATAAATCTTCTACGATTAAACTTTTTACGTGCTGGCTTATGTAGTTCTTCAACCACCCGTTCCCTAGCCTTTGTAATAGTTTTCATTTTTTTCGTTGTGACTCACAGTACATAAATGTTAAGAGATCTAAACTTGAAAGTGGCTAACCCTATAATGATTCAAGATAACACATGTAGAACTATTTATTAAACTCAATCACACCCAATTCAGCCAGTTCCTCTAAAATACTCATAATCTCACTAATATTATTGGTATTTCCAGCTTTTTGTGATGCATCCAATTTAACAAGTCTATCAATTAATTCGTTGACGTCATGGTAATAAACATATTGTTTTCGTTTCTCATTATATTCTAATAAAAAAGCACTTCCGGATTTATTTTGAGATCTTGTAGATGGATTTCGGCCAGATGGCGAGGCGCTGTTACTTGATTTAAGCCTTTTTGCTTCAGATGAAGATGAGACCAAAGGTTTAACAAACTGTCTATATTTTGAAGATGTGGACCCTTTAACTTGTTTGGATGGATCAAAATATCTTCGATGAACATTGGTCCTGTTTAGAATATCCGTGAACTGCAACTTATCATCCTCTGTCTGATAGATCGGCTTTTTCAGAAATAAAAGATCATATAAGCCCTGCGTTCCTTTATAAGATACAGCCCCGACTTTAATATCTCCATTCGGGAGAAAGTTGACTTTTTGTGATCCCATAGACCAATCATCGGTTTTCATATCATGTTTCAAGCCATAAGAATGGTCTATTTCATCTGATTGTTTATAGTATCTATCTACATACTCTTGTGCTACTTTGGGATACTGATCTAAAAATTCTTCATACGCTCCTGATCTATCGTGAATTGATTTCTGCAGATTTTCTTTCAAATGTTGTAAGGGTTCATAAAAGACATCCTCAGCGCCATCATCATCATCATCATCATCATCATCACTTTTTAAATTCTCACTCGTTTGAGCAATAATCTCTGCTGGTTGGAACTCTACATTTCTAGGAAGTTTCGGTTCAGATTCAAAATACGTTTTAGGAGCTTCGAGCTTAACTTTTTCATGTTTAACTTGGACTTTTCTGCCAACCGTTTTCTCAACAAACTCTCTTAGAGGTTCAGTTATAGGGTTTATTATCCTATCAAGTGCCTCATCTTCCTCTTTTCTCTCCAGCTTTAAAGCCAAATACTTTTTTCTTATAGATCTAGCAGCGTTCAGTATTTTCTTCTTGATATTCCTATCATTTTCGCTTGGAACCGAAGCCATGATTTCCAACCAGGTTTTACACTGTCTTTATACTGCTACACAGATCAGGAGACAGGTCTGTATACAGCTATATACAGGTCCGTATACCGCTATACAGGTCTATAGACAGCTTTACAGGTCAGAAGACAGCTTTTTAGGCAGCTATACAGGTCTAGAGACAGCTTTTAGACAGCTATGCAGGGTAGGAGACAGCTTTTAGACAGCTACACTAGTTCAGAGACAGGTCTGTATACAGCTATATACAGGCCCGTATACCGCTATGCAGGTCTAGAGACAGCTTTACAGGTCAGCAGACAGCTTTTTAGACAGCTATACAGGTCCGGAGACAGTTTTTAGACAGCTATACAGGTCAGAAGACAGCTTTTTAGGCAGCTATACAGGTCTAGAGACAGCTTTTAGACAGTTATGCAGGGTAGGAGACAGCTTTTAGACAGCTACACTAGTTCAGAGACAGCTATGCTACAGCTATTGCAGGGGTCTGTACACAGCGACGTCTTAAGGGATACTGAGGAGAATTTGTCTTCTATGGAGATATATAGGTGTTGAACTGACTTCGATATCTACCGCTCGGGATATCATCATCTTTAACAATGACTAAGAAACCATATTTATCTTTCCAACATTCAGAACAAATAGTTTTAAACGTATTTAAAGACATATCTGTGTTAACGTGATCGTCGTACACATGTTTCAGGTTCGTGTCATCCTGCTTAAATACTATAATCATATTTGCATTATCACGAATCAATTGCTTAGGTATTTTTGAATACGTCTGACAAAGATAAAAATAGTCAATAGCATTATGGCGGCCCATACAAAAATAGTTTCTTATCTTATCTTGCTTCTCACAAGCCACATCATCGAATATAAACACCGAATCTGACTTAGCTGTTTGCGGATCTAAAACGGTTTCATTATCACTGTATCCATAAAAGTTTATACCAGCAACACGGTTGAGCATCTCTTTCAGAAACTTATACTTCTCTTGGTCCAATGACTTGGAATATACATATACATTTCGGAATCTAAGTCCATTCTCATCGGTTAACATACTAAGCATAACATTTGTTTTCCCTGAATTACTTGGCCCGCATATTATTGCTCTAATTGTGTTTGGTAAAAGTTCTCCATGTCTCTTTCTAACACTAGTGGACTTATTAATGTCAAAGTTATCGATCTTTATGTTGATTTTCTGCTTCATCTTCCGCATCGTATATAAACAATGTTCACTCTACCTCTGTTTCATTCTTAATGAATACACCATCGAGTGTAGGTCCTTTAAATAGCTACATCAACAAGCTTTCTTTTGAAATTCACGGATCTACAACACAGACATCGGCCAGATAAAGTGCTAAAAAATAGATCGTGGGAACGGGTGAAAGGATAGGATTTCGCAATTTCGGTTAGAAGAAAACTAAACGTAAACTCAGCATGGCTCGATCGAAAAGTTTGAAACCATTCAAATCCTATGTTGTGGCTAATATTAGAAAGCAAGTAAAGCATCGTGGTAGAGGAATAAAAGACTTTATTAAATCGGCGCTTCAAGCAGCTCGTAAGACAATCAAAGAAGCTGGTGGACCCAAAAAGATTCGAGTTCCACGAGTTATCCCAGTACCAAAAGTAGGTGGAATTATTCCTTTTATACCTCTGTTTGCCGGACTTAGCGCGCTGGGCGCTTTAAGTGGGGGCGCGGCAGGGGTGGCAAAAGCAGTGAATGACGCTCGTTCTGCGAAAGATAAACTTGTCGAGTCCAAACGACACAACGAAATGATGGAAGCTATTGCGTTAGGAAAAAAAGGAAGTGGATTATATCTTAGTAAACACAAGACCGGATATGGACTTTACCTGAAAAAGATGTCAAAAAACTTCCAATAAAGCTACCCGATCGTCCACTAAGTGATCAAGATATCAAGCGATACGTTAAAAAACTTAAAATTTTCAATTTTAGAGGCGTGTTTATGCGAGATACCTTACCATCGTCTTCAAAGAAAACCGAATGCGGGGTTCTTAATTTGGATACGAATATGGGATCGGGATCACATTGGGTAGCTTATAAGAAAAAGGAAAACACGGTTGTTTACTTTGATAGTTTTGGGAACCTAAATCCACCAAAAGAACTCGTTCGTTATTTTAAAAATTGTAAGATACTTTTCAACTATGATCAGTATCAGTCATATAACTCCTACAATTGTGGACATCTTGTACTTGGTTTTTTGTTTAATAAATCTATATAAAGTAATTGTGTTTTGATTTTATTTCAGTCATGTCTCAGACATTCACGTTAAAAGGTCGAACAAGTCGCTTGAGTGTTGATATTACACCACCCATCAAGCTTGATTCTAGTTATAACTATTCATTAGCTCTCATCTCACTCAGTACGTGGAATTCCATTCCCAACATTGAACCAGGTCGAAACAAGTTCTACTATAGCGTTACAGGAAAACAACAAATAATAGAAATCCCAACCGGGTCGTACGAGGTTACCGATATTGAAGCCTATCTACAAAAACAATTAAGTACGACTACTACAACAGAAAATATTTCTCTTAAACCAAACAACAATACATTGAAGTGTGAACTAAAGGCTATATATGATATTAATTTCAAGCCTGAGGATAGTATAGGAAAACTTTTGGGATTTTCAGAAAAATCTCTGGAAAAGAATTATCTACACGAATCCGATCTGCCAGTTGAGATAATATCGGTGGCTAGTATACGGATAGAGTGCAACATCATCTCTGGTTCCTACTTCAATAGTAATCCTTCACATACGTTATACGAATTTACTCCAGCTGTGGATCCTGGATACCGAATTATAATAGATCCTCGAAACTTGATATATCTACCTATCAATAGGGACAGTATAGATAATATAACAATTAATATACTTGATCAAGAAGGACGGCCAGTTAATTTCCGAGGAGAGGAGATCATAGTGAGATTAGAGCTTAAAAAATATGGTCCTGGTTTTTAATAAAACTGGTGACTATTTAAACAGTGGTGTTAATAACTCGAGCTCAGTCTGCAGTCAACCGTCAAAGCAAGCGCTCACACATAAAAGTTTGATTGGGTTGAGATCTCTAACTTCCAAATATGGATATTGTATCAGGAAAACTGCAAATATTTCAGTCGGTCAACACCGATGAGTCTGTAGCGAGAGAGGAATGGCATACTTATCACCCCTTCACTAATGCCTTCAACTATAGTGATGAAATAGAAATTGTTATCAATCAACAAGATGCATTTATAGATATCAGCCAAGCCGAAGTCTACATTGAAGGAAAGTTTAATGAAGACGTTACCGCTGGAAAGACAGGAAAATGTAATCTAACAATTAATGCAGGCGCATTCTTTTTTGAATCCATCGCTTATGAATTAAATGGCAAGGAAATTGATAAAATTCGAGATCCGGGGCTTACCAGCACAGTGAGAAACCTGCTATGCCTCAATGATCAAGAAAGTAGAGCACTCGAACGAGCTGGATGGAATTGGCCTAGTGGAACAGTAAAATCTTTAGCGGGGGATAAATTCAATTTTCTAATACCCTTGAAAGTTTTACTGAATATCTTTTCCGATTACAATAAGGCTATTATGGGAAGACAGAAAATAAAACTTGTCAGAGCGAGAAATGATGATAACTGTTACATCAATACGACTGGAGATAAAACAGCAAAAATTACTTTAGACACAGTAGAATTGAGGGTGAGGCACATTTATCCAAACGATGTTTTAAAATTGAAATTATTGGAAGATATTTCGAACAACAAACCCATATTTATTCCATTCAGAAGTGGGGAGATTCATGAGTTACCTACATTGAGAAAATCCAAGCGAGACGTGTGGACTGTGAAATCCATGTCTGAGAGAGCTAGATATGTCATAGTCTTTTTCCAGAAAAACCGAAAAGATAATCCTCGGTATGATATTACTCTTGTCGATAATTTGGACATAACAGATGTCAAGCTGTATCTAAACTCTGAAGTTTATCCGTATGAATCACTGAATCTTAATTTCGATGACAAACAGTTTGCAGAAGCATACCGGATGTATACCGAATTTCAAAACACGTATTTGGGTAAAACCAATAGTGAACCATTGCTGGACCTTCCCAATTTTGCCAACAGGGCATTATTTGTTATAGACTGCTCAAAACAGAACGAATCCCTCAAAAGCAACACGACTGATGTCAAATTAGAGTTCCAAAGCTCAGAGAATTTTTCGGAAGATACACGAGCCTGTTGTATTATCGTACATGATCGAGTTTTTGAATACTTACCTTTATCCGGTAATGTTCGAACATTGATCTAAGCAGACACTATGAAACATTCGACACTATGAAACATTCAACAGAAAAGTAGAACGTTTGCGGTTTTGGATGCTCAAGGTTCTGTTTACGTTAAAGGACATATTTAAAAGATTTTATTATTAGATTGTATACTAAACTAAACCTAATTTATCTAACTAGAGCGAATTTAGAATTTTTTGGACAGTGTAGGATCCAGGCTGGATAATAGCTTGTTAATATCATAAAATTATTTTAAGTCCATGTAGTATTAAGAATTTATTGTATAATTATATTGTGTAAGTACCTAATAAACTTTTTTAAATAATTAAGTTCTTTTCTATAAATACAGACCTCTTAGTCGAATAAGTTTAGTCTTTCTCTAGGGCATGAGCTGCAAACTAGCCGAAAGAATTCAACATTATTTAGTAAATCTCTCGAAATTGAAAAAAGATTTTGACTTTTACCAAGAAAAACACTTACTGTTCAATAATTTTGAAAATTTGAAAATGGATTCGAAATGTGATATCGTATTTGCAAATGAATCAACAACTAGTCGGGAAATTAATCTATATCAAGACTATGATATTGGGGGCTTTGTGCGAATCAATTACAATCCTGAAGAGATCGTCTTACACCACAAAGATAGCGCTTCAATAAGATTTACCTATGATGAATTTGAAGATTTTTTTGAATTTTTTTTGATACTATAAACGAT